TTACAATTAAAGGAAATTCAAATGCAATAGTTTATTTAATTTTTTTTTATTTGGTTAGGGCTATTATAACTAGTTCAAACTTGTAATTTTTACTAATAATAACGGAATTTAACTTATAATTATAGCTCTCGCATTACAGTAAAAAGCAATTGTGCCTATTGCCTCGCTCAAATATGCCACTGTTATTACCTAAAGTCACCAGTTAAATACCTTAAAAGTTAAAAAATTTAAATATTTCTAGGATGTCAATTCACTTTCGAATGATCAGTTCATTGATGTTAATGCTTGTTTTGTTCACTGTTACAACAATTTTAGTTAATTTAGATTCCGATTCATGGCAAATATTGTTCTTTATTATAACCTTAGGGACAGTCATTTTTTTAAACAGTGAGTTCAATAAACAACTATTATTACTAAAATTTTAAAACTTTTAATAAAACTTTTGCATTTTTTTAGTTGGGAGTTCTATTATGCAAGGAGCTGTATTCAATTTAGTCACCTTTTTTGATAGTAGCTACATGACAGCAACTGTATGTGGTCAAGCATTGGGAGGCATTGTTGCTGCATTAGCTCAAATATTAGCTTTGTGGTGGGGTGCATCGTCTGTCCACAGTGCCTTCGTTTATTTCTTATTTGCTGATATATTCATCTTGCTTTCTCTATTTTTATACGCTATTTTAGTCAAAACAGTTAGTACATTTTGAAAATAATTTAAGATTTAATTATGTCTTGTATGCAACCTACTATGATCTAGTCAATATACTCAATTTCAATACATACTTAAATTTATCGTTTTGATTGTTATTAAAATTAAAAATATTTTTTTTWAAATAATTTTTGTAAAAATAATTATTAAATAGTTTCAAAAAAAGAGAGTATCCACACTCCATGCATATAGATTGGTACATGTATAATGTCTTATGGCTTCGGAACTCAAACAATATAGAAAGTAATAAGTTATTAAAATAATTACAAATTATGAATTATTATTGTTACGCTTAGAATCTAAAAGGTRTAATGAGGACAATGAGGTATAGTACCTACCTATCTATTATTATTAATCGTCGGTTTCTAGAGGCAAACTAGGAACGTTAATTTGAAATAACTTTAACATTAATTTAAACTTTTTTATTGGGTGGTTATCATACCAAGTACCAACTATAACATGAAATC